TGTTTATAAAACCGTGAATATAGAACTCAGTCAACAGGATGGCTCGAAATACTAGGATGCATTGGTGGTTGGAACTCCAAAACACGTTCCTGAAACGACTTATTGCTTCTGGTTTTCAATTAGAGAACAAAACCTCCTCGAACTCCTCGGACTGTGATAAGAAATTATTTAAAATAGCAAAGATTTGGTTATTCAGTAGCTGGAAGCGACGTATTCTCTCTACCACTCGAGGTACAGCCTGAGAGTCAAGATCAGTTCTAGAAAAGTTCGGACAGACTTACGACTCCATCGACTGCATCAGTCTTTCCATCAGCTTTCTGGACTTTGTGTAAATGATAAGAAAAGTCCAAAACTTCATATCGTCGTTGTTGGCCTAATAAGCTGATGATGGTGAGTCCAGCCCACACAACCGAATCGCCGAACCATTCTCTGCAACACGATTGCTTAAATAGAGCAAGTATGAGAAGCTGTATACTCGTTCAAATTCTCCTCAGCAACTAAAGGAGGGAAACACAGCCAGAACTGTAGAGCTGAGTAAACCCTGTGAAATTCGCCACACTCATTTATGCACATTACACCGTTACTGGGATGGGAACCAATGTACGCCTAAACCCAGATAAGATAATACTAAACTCTCGATTGAAGCTGTCCCACCATTTCCGGAACTATCATTTGCTTGATACGCTGCAAAAACATTTCAAACACATTCAAGCCACAGCAAAGTCTCTCTTTAGTCATCAACTCGGCCTCTCTGGCGATTGCTATTTGCTAAAACATGAACAGATGAGACAGGCAATTGGAAAAGAAAATACCTTGTCTGATCCGTACTTTTCAATTACACTGGTAAGTTGAATGCGAGAATACTTCTCCTCCAGTTTTGCTAGCTGCTTCTCTTGCTCCATTACATCTATATCATCTTCATAAAACTATTATAACAAGAACACAGACTTCTAGCATGAGGTTTAGGAATAGCATTAGTGTACGCGGCTGCCACTAACAAGTCTTGCACTTCTTCCTGGGCCAATCCCAATTCTAACTGCATACAGAACAGTACGATGTTCCCCACTTCTCTTAAATCCTCAAAACAAAAACATTTTGAATGAGCGAGGATAAGTTACCTGGCAGAATTCACCACGTAGTTCGGGATGTTGTCCAATAGCTTCCAAATGATGCATAAAATNTGTTTATAAAACCGTGAATATAGAACTCAGTCAACAGGATGGCTCGAAATACTAGGATGCATTGGTGGTTGGAACTCCAAAACACGTTCCTGAGACAACTTATATGGGTTTCTGCATATTGCTGAGTCAATAACACCGGTCACTCCAGAAGAAAATTAAGAACGAAATTGGTAGGAATTTTGTTCCGAGCAACGTTGATCTCGAGCGGTGACATTCGGTCTGTCTTCGTATTAGAACCGTGAACCGATGATGCAGAAGAGATCTTATCGTTCAATGCACGAAGCACTTCGTCCACCTGTAACAACATGACCTGTTCTGCTCCATTCGCTGGAGCTCCTAAAAACATAAAATACACGTCCGTAACCGAAATAGAAAAATATACAAACATTCTTGAATATATTCAAAAAATACCTAATTGAGCCTGATATATTGTTATTGGAACAAGAGAACAACAAAAATTATAAAAAATGGGTACAAATTGCTGGATTGTTGTGGCCACGCACTAAACACAAAGTTTTTTTATAACTTTAGGGAAAGTTTGTTTCAAAATTATCGAATACTAATATTGTATATAAAAATGGTAAGAAAGTAAGTAAAAAGTTCAAAGGTTTTGCATACCTGATTGATTGTGCGGCACATCGTCGAGTAGCTCAATTTGCTGGATGAGCGTCTTGATAATGACATCTCTTGTGTCATGATTCATAGAAACAAACTTAAGCATATAAATCCAATATTAAAAAAAAAACGAAAATTTTTGATCAAAATTATCAGTTAAGTTAGAGTAAAACATTAGTAAGTAGTAATATGCTTACTTGTCCGTGATTTTACTGCGAGCGCTCGAGAACATAATGAAGAGCGTTTGTGCGTGGGCCTAAAATTGAATCTTGATATGAAATATAAAATACAAGAAGTGGACACTTAAGGTTTAACTTACGGAAAAGTAATAGCGGGGCATGACTGAGGTAGCAAGCTTCTGGAAACATATTTGGGAGCTTATTTACTTTCTGCCACCCCCCCTCCCCTACGAGCACGCCGCACGTGGCACGCTTTTATGCTAATATACGTGAGCGCGCGCATCAGACAAGTAATTGGCATTGTTTTTCATAGATTTCAATATAACAATATAAGAGAGAAAGATCATTAAAGCTCGAAGTTATTTTCAGCGAACTTTTTTGGCCTGTGACCACATACCTTCTACTCTATTAGTGTGTGCACCAGTTACGGGATCAACGTAATTTTTGGAATGATTCACCGTTTGGTGTTTATAACGTAGTCCCATACTCTCAATTCCAAAATAAGCTGGCCAACAGTCAGAAAAAATTGTACTCCCTTCCTTAACCGCATATCTTATACACTCCTGCAATAATTCTGCCGATCTATTATGGACTCTGTAAAGGAAGCACTCTCTTGTTTCTCTACAAATCCCACCAAAAACCCAGATCTGATTTATAAGACGACCTTTGTTATATTTCCTACGAGCTACTAACATTTCATCAATTTCCACTGTTAATCCAGGACCCCCAATTGATTTCTTCTCTCTCAAAAGTTTAAAGGTACATACTTCTCTAAGAAAGCTACTCCAATCAACAAAAGTTTTAGTCGAACCAATTCCAACTTCTTCCTTAGCAGTAATCCATGTTAAGTTTTGTTTCGACCAATTTTAAATGAATTCTACTGCAGTTACATACGACAAGTGGCTCTCATAATGAATTATATCTATGAATCTATCTAAAAACACGATCTCACTTTCAAAAAATGTTCCGGTTTTGAAACTGATTTTTTTGCAACAACGACGACATCTGCATCTTTTCCTCTTGGCTAACATTAACTTCATACGCTCTCCACGACATTTAATAATTTAAATAAATTCTTTTTCTTCAGACAAAACTCCTTTCGAGATTAAAAAATCTATAGCAAAACGATGAATGTATTCAAGATTGATGGAAGCTATAGTAAAAAACTTTTAAAATTTTTAATTTTTGTTTAAAAACCTTTCGAAATTTCATTTTGAGTTTGAGAGCTCATCTTTGTCAATGACAGAAGTTCGCTAGTTCATGTTAAAGTGAGAAATTGTTATCTTTCACATTAAGGAAGTTGATTTCATTCTTTGTTATTTTTCCATTCCTATAAGGAACTTAGCGTAATCAGCAGCGCATTTGACCGTTTGAGAACTGTTCGCTTAAGAAACTGATCAGTTGACTTGGTCTCGCAGAACAAAAATCAACAAACTCTTATGGAAATCCTCTGAATCTATGAATTGCCCAAACAAATTATTTTCGAAGATCAATATGGGGGATGGCAGTAAACTGTTTTTCTAAATACCCCAGATGAACGTATTTACTGTCAAAATTACATTTGCTATCATCGGGATTAGAACAGATCAAAAAAACAAGGTTTATTTGGAATGGCTATCATGGTTGGCGATTGTTCTATAATAGTAAAACTGAAATAATATAGACAGAGGAAGGAGTTCCAACTACTAAGGCTCTTAGACTAGACTTCTCTCAACCAGGAAGCTATCTTAACACCTATGATGTATGATTCTCATCGCACCAGTTCCTGCTTGCACGGTGTACCGTAAATCTGGTTAATTTTCTCTTTTTTTGTGTTTTTTCTGAATTAAGGTAGAAAACAATGATCATCCTCATCTAATTGGGCTATGAAAATTATAAAAAGGCTGGAAAC